ACTCCTTTCTGTGAGATCACGTGTGTGTACTGCAGGCATACTTATCCCCTCTGTCTACGAACATAAGCACGGGTGGCACATGAGTGTGCACACAGGCAACATGCCTACAGCTTTCAAGCTTTTCTCCTAAGCAGGCAAAATTGCAAGGGAATTAAACATGGGGAAAGATCATGTTTCTCTCTGACATTTATTATAAGGAAGTCGTTCTCAAAACCAGTTGTGTACCAAAATTACCTAGGAAGCTTTTTAAAAAATACAGATGCTCTGGCCTCACCCCAGAACCTCTCTCCTGTGATGGGTTTCTGGGAACCAACAGTGTTTGGCATTTGGGAACAGCTGCTGAAGGGACAGGAGTTGTACAACCCACTTAATCACCATTTGATTCCTCCAGGACAGTACACGTGCTCTTGGCTCCAGGTTCTGCTCAGAGGAAGGCCTGATGTTTGGATAAGGGGTTTAAGAAACACTGCTTCAGAACCCTTCAAAATTTAACACTTCCATTCAGCCTGTATCAGGCAGAAGGGCCCATGGGATAAAGGCTGAGCCTCAGATTCTGGGGAAACTCTCTGGCAGGTTCTCCAGAAGAACCGCAGCTTTCCAAAGAGTATGCTAGTCTGCCTCTTTTTTCAAGTATTCTTTCTCAATTTATCTCAAGTAAAATGAACAAAAGCTAACATTTATTGAGCACTTACTATAGACCAGGCACTGAGCCACATGTCTTTGTATATTTTCATTTTATTTTTGTAGAGACAGGGTCTCACTCTGTCACTCAGGCTGGAGTGTAGTGGCATGATCTTAGCTCACTGCAGTCTTAAAACTCCTAGGCTCCAGCAATCCTCTTTCCTCAGCCTCCTGAGTAGCTGGGACTACAGGCACATGCCACCATGACTGGTTAATATTTTTTTTAAAAAAAATTTTTTTAAGAGACAGGGTCTCACTACGTTGCCAGGCTGATCTCAAACTCCAGGGCTCAAAGACAAGAGCTGCCTCGGCCTCCTGAAGTGCCGGGATTACAGCCATAAGCCACCATGCCTGTTCCTAATTGCTTTCATTTAACTGCTATAGGACAATGTGCAGAGCTGTTGCCACTCCCATTTGACAGCTGAGAAAGCTGAGGCTTGTCCACAACAAAACAGAAAGGGAGAGTCAGAAACAGGCGTCGGCCATCACACTGCGGCCCACGTGCTTGGCCGCTGGGCTACACGCCTTCCAATCAGCTCAGTCACATGCCATATACAAGAAAAAGGATGTGGGCAGAAGAAGAGGGAGTGACTTTGAATCTCCACATTAACTTCATCACCAAATAGTGGGTATTTCTTAGCATAATGGGCTGCTGCCCGTGGTGGAAAAGAATGGAAACAAAATAAAATACAGGCTACATATATGGAAAGAGGCATGTTTCCTCTTTGTTCTCATGATACCAATTCACTTCCAATAGGGGATCAGAATAATTGCTTAATTTGGGTGATTAAGAGTGCCAAGCGCTGCCTCTTTTCTTCACTCTTACTACAATGAAAAACAATCCCACATCTAAGATGCAGTGTTCACAGCCTTCTGACCCAATTTCTACTTTTTTTTTTTTTTGAGACAGAGCCTCACCTTGTTGCCCAGGCTGGATTGCAATTGCGTGATCTTGGCTCCCTGCAACCTCTGCTTTCCAGGTTCAAGCAATTCTCCTGCCTCATCCTCCTGAGTAGCTGGAATTACAAGCACATGCCACCACGCCTGGAAATTTTTTGTATCTTTAGCAGAGATGTGGTTTCACCATGTTGGCTAGGCTGGTCCTGACCTTGTGATCCGCCCACCTCAGCCTCCCAAAGTGCTGGGATTACAGGCGTGAGCTACTGCACCTGGCCAATTTCTACTCCTTATGAACGTCCTCATGGTTCTCTGACACTAATGTGGGACGTATTCACGTGGCTGGGACGGGAGGATAAGGGAGATGCTTTGCTCAGTGTCTCAAGAAAGCCTTTTTGTGCACAAGTATGTCTCCTGCATTTAGGGAAAGCTCTGCTTTTTTAGCCCCTTTCCGAGTCACTTCCACATTAATTAGTAAGGGTATCATTTTATAAATTACAGCTTCATATCAGAGGAAAGCAGAGTTTATCTTAATTCAGTCAGCTGTGTGAAACACAGTACCCTAATTTTAGCCCACTCATTCTGCAGATCCCTATGGAGTAAGAGAATGGAAGGTCTTCCAGACAGAAACCCCAGTGGGTCCCTGACAAGTCTCACTTTTGCCTCCAACAGCATCCCTGGTGGGGCTTGCTGAAGGGATCCCAGGATACTGCGTGGCATCTTTTCCACCATTAGCAATTCAGATTTGAATGCGAATCCTCCTAGCAACACATGAAAGCAGCCCTGGTTAGCTCTGGGGCTCCGCGGCAGGCACAGGAAAGAGGTTCCTTCACAGAGGGGCCGACAGGGGCCTAGGCTGCGACAGAGCAGACATCTTGGAGGATGGTGATGGTGTTAAAGTTGGTGATAAACACCAGACAATCTAAGTCCAAAAGGGAAAGCCTGACAGTCTTAACTGCAACAGGGCCAAGCAGGGGCGAGGGCAATTAGAGTCTTGATGGCTCCTGTTGGGAGCCCTCTGGAGAGGTTGAATGGGGCAGAGCAGGGACAGATGATGTGAGCACTGGTTAGGGTGCGGCTCCCACGTAAGGCCTGCAGGACCACCACAGTCGAAAGAATCAATGGGGGTGCAGGGCAGGAGGTGCGCCAGGGATCGGAGGAACACTCCCAATGCCCCTTCCCTTCCTGCCACTGTCACCCTCGGACTTGCCTATAAACAACTAAGTATCCTCTTCATTACCCTGAAGTCAACTCGAGCTCAGCTGCCTTCCCAAAGCCATTATTCTGACACTTTGTTTCCTGCACTTGGAGATGGAAACCCAGGCAATGACTTCTCAGGAATCCAGGTGATGGGAAAGGACCTGGTAGGGTGCTCTCAGCATTGGCCCCCAATCCGTCTGACAGCCAGAGGCAGATTACTTCTAGAAATTACCAGAGTTAGGTGATCATCAAGACCCTTGGTTCCAAACAGCAGCCCCAAGGGCTCTGAGATCATTGACCTGGGATGAGGCCCAGGCACCGGAACTCATAGCAGCTCCCCTGGTGATTTGGTGTGTAGTTAATACCGAACCCACCGGTGAAGACACTGACAAGGAATACAAAACTGGCATCCTTACCACCTTCTACCACTGCTGAAGACTGGTGATGGTTTTGGAATTCATATTTCCTTTTAAGGAAAGAATGTCAGCTTGGTTGTACAACCCTGAATAAGACTTATCCTTTTGGAGAAGTAGCACAGAGTTAGAAAGTGAGACTAACCATTGCCGACAGATCTGGAATGGCCAGGAGGTACCAGCCCCTCTCTGGGTACCAGTGATGCCCACAATGTGGGAATGTGTCCTGGAGGGATCGGGGGGCCACTGACCATGCCTTAAACACTGAACCATTACTGCTGTGTGCATGTCCCTGGCACCCACTACACTGGCTGCTTCAGACATCAGAGGTCCCACTTCCAAGGAGCTAAGGCTCCCGGGGGCTGGAGGAAGGAAGCTCCTACTTGTCAGTTAAACAAAAGAATAATCCACAGCCCCCTTTCCAGTGTGTACTTTCGCTGTCATCCAACAGCCCATTACCATGTCACAGCACAGCGCACCCTTCCATAGGTCACTTTGTTTAAAATGACATGGATAATGCACATGTCAGCAAGCTGACAGTCCTGGCCGTCCTTCAGAGATAAAAACCTCAAGGCGAGAGCCGGTTCTTATCTGGGGGACATGCATTGGTCTATCATCCAAGTCAGGCAGAACATGATTTCTCCAGAGAGCACTTTTTTCATTTCCTGATTTTAAGGAAATCAAATAAGCACCATTTGTCTTCATCTGAATATGCTTGACCTGCTCAAATGATGATGTCTCGCATTTTATAACAGGCTACATATGCTGAATTCAAATTAACGACAGTACAGAACAAGGGCCTTTAGATCTCTCTTGGAGGCTGGCAGCAGAGAAGGAGGGAAAAATTCTGGGTTTGTTGGAAAGATCCCACTAAATACTAACTGCAGCATTCTGAATAAAATCCACAATAATGTAGGAGGTGAAAGAACAGGGCACAGGACAGATCCAGAAATGGGGGAAGAGGGGCTGAGTCCATTCTTTTGATGCCAAGCAGTATAGAAACCATGATATTCAGGTAACTCTTTTCGAAATACACAAAGCAGCAGTAAAAATGGAAGGAAATTTGGTTGGGGATTGGGAAAGCTAAAGAAAGACCAAACAGACAAATCATCCCTTTGCTTCAGGCAACAGAAAGCTCACTTTACCGGATTGTGATCCAATCTTCTGGAACCTCAGAAACTGGTTCCTTTTCTTGATCCATGTTGATCTGGATACACAGAGGCTGGTGCCCGTGAGCCTCGAAATAGTGCATGTACCTGCTGGAAGAACTGTCCTCCTACCTGGCCGTCCATCCAGATGAGAAGAGGGCAGTTCCCATCTGACCTCCCTTGCCCACCCATACCCCATGATGAGATTCTTAGACACATACCATTAACATTTCTATTTAGAAGGCCAATAGGTACAGAAAAGCATATGGGTAAGTAAAATAAATGCAGAAATGACATTATAAATACATACTAGTAAGTTTAATGTTCTCATCATGAATTTTTAAAAATCAGATGGTTATCAAAATAAATAATATTCTCTTTTAAAATATTTTTGGGTCTATGAGTCATCTTCCATAAAGTAAAAACTCCATGTCACATATATGTAATATCGAAGGTCTTGTTTAAAAAAAAAAAAAGATCTGACAAATTAAACATGTCATAGTATAGGAAATGTCACTGTGTGAATAATGCCCATCTTTCCTAAAGAGAAAACGTACTGTAACCATGAAGCTGGTATCCCACCCTGCAGCTGTGTGTGGGAGGACTATGGTGTTCACAGTGTGTCATGTGCTGTGCCCACAATGGGTGAGGGGAGTCTTACCTTCTCTTCCTGGTCACTGTCACTGTCACACTGAAAGTGAAGACAAGAAAATAAGGGTTAGTGCAAGAACTGAGTATGTTTTTGCTTTTCATGTCGATTCCCTCAACCCCCATACAAAAAAAGTACATGATAAGTAAAGGAAGTAAAAAATGTCTTCCTGGAAAGAAAGAGTTCTCCAGCTCAAGTGCTAGTAAATAGCATCCAAAGCCAAATGCTATCCCGATGCAAAAAACTGTTCTGTTGATTTCATCCGATGCCTGTACTCTGTGGTTCTTCCTCAGGTCAATCACACAGTGAGCGCTTCCCTCCCACCACTGCGGAGTAGGGGCGATGCCCCTCTAGGAGTCAGCCACAGGATTAAGGCGAATCAAGATTATTCAGTGAGATTCAGAGCAAAATCAATTTCTTAACGAAGCCATTCAAACTTAAGCTAATGTGAATGGCTGTATCTTCCCTCCGGTGCTTTTCTAAAGGAAAAAGGCGCGATGGCTCATGCCTGTAATCCCAGCACTTTGGGATGCCCAGGGGGGCGGATCACCTGAGGTCAGGTGTTTGAGACCAGCCTAGCCAACATGGTGAAACCCTGTCTCTACTAAAAATACCAAAAATTAGCCAGGCGTACTGGTGAGTGCCTGTAATCCTAGCTACTCAGGAGGCTGAGACAGGACAATCACTTGAACCCAGGAGGTGGAGGTTGCAGTGAGCCAAGACTGTGCCACTGTACTCCAGCCTGGGCAACAACAGCAAAACTCCATCTCAAAAAATAAAAAAATAAAGGAAAAGCGGTAAACCTCTGGGCATTGTAGTCACTCATTTGAACTCTGAAGGAAACAGAACATAATGGCCAAGGCCCACCAGTTGTGATGGCTGCCTTTTCCAGTTTAGAGGCCCAGAAAAAAGAGGTCAGGGTAGTAAATAAAATATATGTGCAAAAAATATGCTTTAGGGTCACAGACTCAGACCCTATCAAACAGATCCCAAATTCCAATCGTTTGGTTTGGGTTAAGCAGAGAATGATCATTAATAATTAACTGCAATCTTTAAGTTTCTCATTATAAGTAAAGGAAAAAAGAACAGAACTTAAAAAAAATGAAGTGTTTTGTTAATTCAATATTCATGAAAATATTCAAAATGAAAAATGAAAAACTGGGGGATGTGTTTTGCTAGAGTAAAGCTCATCAGGTAAATATATCCATTCATTCACTCAACAGCCCTCGATAAGGAACTGCTAAGCTAGACCAAAGTTCACCTGAGATACAGGCCTGGCCCTAAAGGAGCCTTCTGTGTAGCAGTAAGACATGAAGCTGGGACACAGACACTAGCAGGGGTGTGGCATGATCAGAGCTGCTTCCATGAGGATGACTTTCTGTGGGACTGTGGATAGAGTGCACAGTGGGGAACAACAGGTCACAGGGAGAGCGGTTTGGCAGCCATTCCACTGTCTAACCCGGGGTGGTTCAGGAAGGGAGAAGCAGATGGTGGAGCAATTCTGAAGGTAGAACCAACAGGATCGGATAACACACGGCTATGGAAGCAAGTAACAGGTATGCATCTAGGATGATGCCAAGGATTTTTAGTGTGGTCACCTGGACATGCGAGTTGGCGCAGCTTTAAACAGAAATGGGAAATAAATTTGTGCGTAGGGCAGCACTGCTGGTTAGAGCCCCACAGCCATTCACAACTCCCTTCTCCCTAGTCTGTACCTTCTCCTGACACTTTGAGGTTAAAAATGCCAGGTATTTTCTTTCCCGATTTCTATTGCAGCTAAAGGTGACCGTAAGACCCATCTTTGGCCAATGAGATTCTGAAGTCTGCTGAGGCTGAGGTCTCTAGAAACAATTTTGTTTCCCCAGTAAACAAAACAAAAAAAGAAAAGAAGGAACCACCTGCCTCTGGCCTTCGAATGTGAATGTATAAGGATGTGATGTCTGGATATGTAGCAGCCATTTTGCAAAAATGAGGCAAAAAGACTCAGTACAAAAGCAACAGAGTGGGGCCAAGGGAAAAAAGCCTGACACAATTGGACTGCTGAACCCATCTCAGAGCAGCCTGCCTCAGGACTTTCTTGATTCAGAAAACACCAAGTTACCTTATTGTTTAAGCTCCTATCAGACTGTTTTTGATGGGAAGTAACAAGACATCTATCCAATTGGACTTCTTGCTATTATGAGACAACCTGGGGACTACTTCTTTCTAGACTAAGCACTCTGTACTAAAAGCACATAGGACCTTCTATCACAGTCTTATAGACTGAAGGATCAGAACACTTTCTCTTCTCCCATTGGCTCCTCAGTGCCACAGGGTAGTCAGATATTCAGTGACAGTGATTTCACCAAGTGCAATGCCTCATTTCTGACCCAGCTTCCAACCTTAGATTGTCTACATTTATATTCTTTTACCTGATGAGTGGTTTCTTTATTATAATACGTCAAATGAGTTGAGAAAGAAAGTGGATGAGATAAAGACTTTGAATGCCTATAACCACAGGGGGGTGAAGAAGAATAGTGCCCTGCTTGTGTGATCTCTCCATTGCCTTAATTAAGCCCTCCTTGAGGTTCTAAGATTCGGCACATTTTCGAGAATGACAACGCTCAATTCAGGAGGGATGTGGAAGACAGAAGAGCATTTTGCCAGGCAGGCTCATGTTCCCAGATGTCCACAGTGCTCCGTATGAGGTATATCAGTGACAGCTGAAGGCTGTGGCATGGCCTTTGCCCACCTCCCCAGGGTTCTGGTGTGCAGGGAGGAGAAGGAGTGCAGCAGTTGGGAAAGAACCACCACTGTGCCTCCTGTCCTAACAGCAGTATGTCCCTGGGAATGGTTATTTCTATCTAAGTGTTAAGCTTCCTGCTTTCCAACAGTCCAGTTCTAATTTCAAGGTCCACTTAATTCTCCATCAAGTAATTACTGATATACCCAGAAGCACCTTGTCTCCAGAGTTAAGCATATGGTGAAGAACTGAGACCTACTGGTATCCATTATGGAAGCAGCACGGATGCCAAGCCGATTAAAAATGCTCAGGCTCCCCACACAACATGCCGGGTGAGTGACAGCTCCTCGACGAGGCCAGTCGTGGAGTCTGCCAAAACAGTCTCTGCTGCACTGGGGTCCACATGGTGCGCTGAGAAAACAGTTCCATTTCTGGTATTAAATTCCCATACTGACCCAAGGACTTTGCCTTGAGCTCAGCAGGAGCGCACCATCCAATTTACAGCTCCACTCTCTGGAGCCTCGAGTGCCAGCCCCTGGCAGAGACGAATGATGGTCAACCCCTCCAGCTCATAAATTATGCAAAGGCAATAAATGCACTCAGCAAACAGTGCCTAACGTTTGCCTTGCCCGGATCCTAACACACTCTGTAAAAAGCCAGAAGCTTGACACATACAAGAGGTCTATTCCACTCATAAAGGGGGTTTGTTGACAACCCCAGACGGAAAGCGAGCCACAGTCCTAAGGAGTCTTTCTGCTTCACTGGCAGCAGTTTATGGGCCTGCTTTATGAAAAAGGGAGGCTGTTTATAGAGTCAGTGTGGGTAGAATTCATGGTCTCAAATTCACATTTAATACACTGTACAGCTTTCACACCCTAAGTTCAATACACTGTGGATTTTTTTTTTTTTTTTTTTTTTTTTTTTTGCCAAATGATTCTTGGTCTTCAAAGGTTAAAGGAAGAAGTGTCTGCTTCCCGATCCCTAGATACCCACTCCAATTTATAAGAGTTCACACTGAGCCACCTCCCAACACAGGTTTCTGTTCCGCATGAGGCTGGGAAATGGAAAAGGCATGTCAGATGTGGAGACGGGGTCCCAGCTGATTTGACCATTTTAAGCATTCTGACGTCGCGGTCCTGCTCTGGTTTATTAGCAAACAGGTTGCATACTAACTACCAGCTTGAGGTGATGGAGTACTCTCCATGACAAGATTTCAGAGCCTGCTGTGAAAAGCTAAAAATATTTCCCTCCATTATAAAAGCAAGAAATGAAAAGAGACAAAAAAAAAAAAAAATCAACAACAAAACAAAAACAACTAGGTCTTATAATAATGACAGTAAGAATTCCTGGTCACCTGGCCTTCAAAGACACGACCTGAACCATCACAGACAAAAGGAGGGAAAGGGAGGTCTGCACACCAGACCACAGGCCTCGAATGCACAATCAGGAAGGGACTAGTTCCTAACCCGAGTCCCTCCAGCCATCCCGATATAGTATCCACTCAACTCCGTCTTCACTGCCTCTTCCCCTGGTTTCAGGAATTAACAGTGAACTGCTCGAGGCACGGTCTTCATTTCCCAGACAAGTCTTTTTTTTTTTTTTTTTTTTTGAGATGGAGTTTCGCTCTTGTTACCCAGGCTGGAGTGCAATGGCATGATCTCGGCTCACCGCAACCTCCGCCTTCCGGGTTCAGGCAATTCTCCTGCCTCAGCCTCCTGAGTAGCTGGGATTACAGGCACGCACCACCATGCCCAGCTAATTTTTTTTGTATTTTTAGTAGAGACGGGGTTTCACCATGTTGACCAGGTTGGTCTCGATCTCTCGACCTTGTGATCCACCCGCCTCGGCCTCCCAAAGTGCTGGGATTACAGGCTTGAGCCACCGCGCCAGGCCCCCCAGACAAGTCTTAACCCTTCAACAACCCACCCACCCACCCACCCAATCTTTCTCCTTCTGAAAATACATATTTACTGGGTACATTTTTAAAAATATTACCCATAAATCTCCAATCCTGAGGTAAATTCTGTTAATATATTTGTGTCTTTCCAGTCTTAAGGGTATAATCCCTCTTATCTTTCAAACATACGTTTTAAGAAATAAAAATGAACTCCTACCATTTTGTAACCTGCTGTGGTTTTCACGTAACACGTCAAATATTTTAGTTTAATCAGTAAAATTTATCCTGTAACATCACTTTAAAAAATGGCTACACTGCAATCTGCTGTGTGGATTGTAACATAATCTAATAAAGAAATTCCCCAGTGCTGGGTATTTAGATTGTTTCTATTGCACATCCCAGAATTTTTCCCTTCGTACCCAT